CAACAACCAAACGAATTAAAGACATGAATTTCATACTTTAGTTTAAATGCTTATCTGACTTGGCCAAGTATATAATAAAGCTGAATGCATGCCATATGAACTAATGGTTGCATGCCTGTTAGTGCATATTAATTTACCTGGCTGTATGTATATATATGCATGCCATGATTCATTAATTTTATAATATCTTGAATACATTGTAAGTATACTTAAAATATACTTTAAGTATACTGTACTTGTCAGATTACCACCAGTGGTTTTACTCGTGAAGTATACTTAAAGTGCACTGCAAAATTTTCAGTAGCTCTGTAAACTATACTTCAAATCTACTGAAAGTATACTTTGTGTATATTTTTTTGCAGTACACTTTGATTAACAGAATAGTATACTAAAAGTGTACTTAAGAATTGTTTCATGCTTAGCATGCATATGTCGAGTTATGGATGCACGCGGGGAGTTTGGAGAGCATGAGAGAAGTGTAAGAGTTGCTCGAGGCGCAGCCGAGAGCAACTCTAGCTTCTTGAGTGCTTTCCAGACTTCCCAAGTGCATCCATAATTCAATATACGCAGAGCTAAAAGCATGAAACAATTCTCTTATAACATACGAAAACAATTTGGGCGCTGAATGACATTTTTGTAATGTTTTTTTTAAATGAAAGTTGCCCGAAAATGTTGGCATCTCCGATTGTTTTGTTGTTTTTGTAATTAAATGGTTTTCGGTAGAGTTAACAAATGTCACCAAAAAAACGTCATCAACAGAGACGTTGACCTTTAAAAGTCGCCACAGACACATTTGTAGTCTTCTTAGTTGAATGTCTTTCAGCTAACATTTTCTCCACTTCCTGTTCCGATAAATCGGGAAACGGGCCTGTTGTGTTTCGTTTAATTTTCGTTGTGCTTATTGGCTTGACGACTTGCGGGAAGGTCGAAAGCCAAAAAAAAGTCTGGTTGGTCTTCCATTTGCTGATATCCCTCACCGAAACTTTAACTTAAGGAACTCACACGACGGAAATTTTGCAGCTATTTTGAAACTGCACACGTCATTTTATTGAGCACGGCAGTGCGTACATAAAGATTTTCATGTTGACGCAATAGGAATTAGATAGGACTAGCGCGCGCTATGTCATAATTAATTTTGGTAAGGGTAACTTCTCTACATTATTTCACATAACTTGAGTTTGCATAATTGCATGAATTGACAACTACATATAACTTGTTTTTTTCCTTGGCAGTCGCCTTTTGACAGACAACTACACATCCATAACCAAGAAACATTTTTTGCCTTCCAAGGGATCAGGTGGTGCTGATCCCTTTTCCAGAGGGCTCTACATGACAGCAACAAGTGGATTTGTGAAGGATATTCCTGTAACTATTCCAAGATCAAGACAGGTCAGTGTGTGTATAGTTCAGTCTTTTCATTATAATTACATGTACATGTAGGTCATGAGATTTTCTTCCCTTGTCCCAACCTCCACCCCTTCTACCCAAGGGGTACTAAGCTGTGAGAGAAATGCTTCCTTTTCTCAAAGGGTTGGTGTAGGGAGTTCAGGTGGAGAAGCAGGTGATTTTCTAAATTACATGTATTACATCATGTACATGTATCTCACAAACAAGAGAAAGTCCTGATTGAGGCCCCCTGACACTGTAAAAGAATAGTTAGAGAAATGGTAACTGATAGCCCCCTGTACATTTTACTGTTAGTCACAAGTACATGCACACTGTACATGTACACTTTTTAAAACACACCAGACTTTAATACAAAGGTCTACAGGTATACTTATCTAATTTATATTCTTGGCCAGATTTCTTCAATCTTACAGCTCTTCTCTCTGCCTTAAAGTTAACTTTATAAATGGTGAACAATAAACTGTTGTGGAAACCTCTACCAAACTGCATACTGTAACTGACTTGTGGCTTTTGGAACACTTAGTTGTACACAACTTTACCTTTCAAATAGTTTAACAAGAACGAAGGTTACTTTTAACAGACATCATTATGCATGACCTTTGATCCTCATATATATACATGCTTGCAATAGGTGAGTGATGTACACATTGACACCAGGGCCAAAGGAACAGTTTATCCATTTCACCGTCCCCTGCTCCACACTCTTAAACAGAAGGATCCTATCTCCAAGGAAAATGCCTTTCATGTAAGTAGATAATTAAAAATGTATTATCTTGCCACATAGAACTAGAACAGCTTTCCTAGTACATGTATTACAAAAAGAGCAGTTATTGAAATTGTGCCTATATGTAAAGATGGTAGCCCCCCTAACTTCTTCATTTCTTGAATTTCCAGGGACCAAGCTACATGTCGACTGAGAACCATACAAGCTTCCTTGGAAAACCCAGTCAAAGAAGTGTGTACCACTCTGCTGCTAGGGAAAAAGTTGTGATCTAACCAAAAATTTCTTCCCTAAGCTAACTTCTTGGACAAACTGTTGTTGAGACATTAGGCATCATTACTGCAACTTACTGCATTGTGCAAACTATCTTTTGTAGCTTCTTCTCCTCCACCCTGCCCCTCCTACAAGTCAGTGTTGCTTGGTTCATAAGTTGGTCTGTATTATGGACATGTACATGTAACATATTAGTTACCACAGGGCAAATGTTGGCATAGGAGGGCTCCTGTACTAGAATCTTATAGACAAAGCTTACATACATGTGTATTTGGGGTTTGATGGATGCCAGGCTGTGTAAGTATTATGAATATCTCTTTTTCAAGGCAGAAAGGGTGTTGACACATACTGTTAAGGATTCTCTTAGCAACAGCGATATATTTAATGTTAACTGTCTCTTCAGAACTAAACTTCACTTTCTGCCTTTAAAAGCACACACAACCCACAATTCCTCTATTCGCTCTGACAAAGGGCTAACGCTTGAAATGTCAGCTTTTGTAATCGTTACGGTGGCCAATTTACCATTCCAACTTTGTTGATATATCCAAATTATCTTCAGAACTACACCTGGAATTGCAAGGAAACATTAAAATGTTTGTTTCCTTAAATTCCTTCTCAGTGGATACTTCAATCAAGAGTGTGGGGTACAAGGAAGGATCAGGCTTTACACATGCTTATAAGGATGAGCCAATCACTTTCCACCCAATGGAGGCTTACGAAGGAATACGAGATGTAAGGCAATCCATACATGTATGAACTAAAGATTACAAGAGAACACAAAATTACTGATTATGTATATCGATCTACATGTGCCATTTGTTTCACTAACCCAATTGCTCCATTAGCTAAAAAGAAAATGTTGGATGTATGTGCATTTGTATACTGGTAGGAATATTTAAAAAATTAAATTCAATATATGCATAATTATTGCAAAACCAAAATTAGTAGAAGACAGTCAAAAACCACGCGTCTTACACCACAGTAAAATAAACCATTAGTATATTAGGCAATAACAAATGGCAGTATATTCACCCATTTACTCTCTAAATTATACAAATTTCCCTCAAAGTTGTCAAATTCCACTACATCATGTACAATCCTGAAAACTGCTCCCCTCAAGATTTTGGTTAAGCATTTTGGTCAAAATTAGTACAATTTGAAGTGACCACAGTTACTTTATTTCCTTCTTCCCATTTTTAGTTTTAACAATTTCTCTAAAAAGGATCTTCTGCATGGTCTGCCAATTTGACTTGACTATCTTTACCTAGTTGTGCCTAATCATGATCATTTGGCTCAATACATGCATGTACCTGGTACAATAAAGAAAATATCTCAAAGACCGACCAGAAATACTAAAGCTATGTGTTTGTTTGATTTTATTTAACTGCCAGCTAGCTATAGGTTGTGTGAGAATCATACACTCATATTAACTTAGCATTAGCATTACTTAGCATCGATGTAAATTATTTTTAAGAAACAGGGCCCCTATGGATACCAGCCTTAGAGCTGAATGGGCTACCCTGTGTGAATAAAGCTTTACTTTACTTTACTTTAGCATTATGATTGGTTTAATCTTTATTTCAGCCACGATGGACACACAGGCCAACAGGCTTCAGTATTATGAAGAAAGATTTTCTTCCTGTTGAATATCTCCATGTGAGTTTAATTTAATGTCTTAATAATGTCTTAATAAATATTAAATTTGTGCCTGATGAAAACACCAACTCCACTCTCAAACAGCTATCCCTTTTAAAACCATTGAAATACAAAATGCAGCCACCATGTTACTGGTACTAAGGTCTATGGGCTTTACTAGAACTAAGTGATAACTTTTAATCCAGCTTGTACAGTGTAGAACATTTTTTCCATGGATTTAAGTTCGAAACTTTTACACTTTAGTCTACAAAATCATTGGTTGTGAACATAAACTAAATGACACTAACATATTTCCTGCCAAGCTCATTGTTCACTGTACATGTAGTTTGATAAGTCATTGTTACCACAAGTGTCCCAAATATTTTATCATCACATATTTTTTCCCTAAATATCCTACTTTCAAAATAAAATTATGGTTCTTTTTCTTATACTTGCACAACTGGGCAGGGCAATGAAAGTCTTCCAGTTTTGTCTCATGGGTCAGAACGTGGCACAGGATTCACTCATGGCACAAAGGCAAGGCCTGTGTTTTATTCAAAAGTGGGACAGGTAAGAAATTAATCAGAACACAAACAAATGCCATTCTGGATTGGGTAATCTCTTTATGTAACTCTTTACCTATGTGTAGGGCAACAAATTTACTAAATAAATTTTTAGTGAAGTGAAAAGTAGCAGTCAAATGGAATTCCTGGTAGGGTAGAAGAGGAAGGGTGACAATCAGAAAACCATATATGGGGGGAGGGGCAGATATTGGCCACTTACATTGTATCTGCAATCCTCTTCATAATTCTTAAAACACTTCCACAGTTACTTCACATGCCACCTCCCCTCCCCCCACCCCACCTCCCCCAAAGGTTCAATTATACTAGTCCACATCCATTAGGCCAATATAAGAAACTTTAACCTAATTGAATACACGTATATGGATTTGAACGACATGGCTTAACCCTTAATGTACTCACGATAGATGTTCACTGATCCATTCCACGTCCTCTTATTCAGGAATACACAAGGCTCAGCGACCTTCACCCTCGGGCCCAAGAGAGAGTAAAGAAGATGGATCCAGCTGAGTATTCCAACATGGTGAACCCTCACTCTTTCGCTAGGTATCAATTATTTTGATATTTCTTCATATTTGTTTTGGTTAATTATCGTAATGTCCTCGCACCCCAAAAGGAAAATCGCATAATGCAGCTGACGTATTTATACCCTGTCGTGTCTGCCATTTTTTACCTTTGTGGGGAGACTGGGAACTAAAATTTGGTTTACGCACTTTGGCGCGAAAAAAAGCACAGCTGTTTTACGTCCACTAGTTTCTTTCTCAGTTTGTTTTCAAGCACAAAAAGTATGGAATGCATGGAGAACGAAACTTAGAATCGTCTCTTGAATAGGAAATTTCAGTTTATGAACATATTGCAAATTGTTTTTGTGCTCAAATTGTGCATCAAAAAGAGTACAAATAACAGATAATGCGGGCTCCTCGGGGCAAGAACCGTTCGCGATAATTCTTTTCAAATTTCAGAATTGTCTAAGGGGATTAAATTAATTTCTACTCCATCTCTGTAGTCTGATGAGTATTGTGGGGAAAAAGTTCCAGTGAGGTACGTGAAGAAGTGAAAATCCAGTTTTGCCAACATTCAATTCCGAACGCATGGTCGAACTCAGCAGTGTAGTTTACAAGTACCTATGAAAATCCTTTCAAAGCCTTTAGAGAAGAAAATAGTTTTTGTCTTTTCCTTAATTCCGATAGTACTGCCAAGATTTCATTCAAAGGCAAACAGAGAAATGATCCTACTGAAGCAGAGAGACTGGGTAATGCGTCCACAGGAACAAAGGTCGGTTGTAAAAGTCGAAATTTATAGGAAGACGAGAAGAATTTTCACGGCAAGGGTCACGATAATCTTCAAATTTTATTTCGTCGCAGACAAATTTTCATGTAGGATTCTCGTGCATTCGCAGTGTATGTCT